CTGTCCTCCTCTGTCCCTGGACTGTCACAGGGCTGTCCTCCTCGGTCTCTGGACTGTCACCACAGGACTGTCCTCCTCTGTCCCTGGACTCTCACCCACAGGGCTGTCGTCTTCTGTCTTTGGGCTGACTCCCACAGCACCTTTGCACATGTGATTGGAAATGTCACCAGCTTCCAGAGGTGCACGGCTGGTGTCTGACTAGCTTTCCGAGCCCCGCTTACACCTGCAGTTGCTCTGTTCAGATCCGCAGACAGGCAGGCTGCTGACTGGTCCTCGGATGGTGGCTACTGACAGGCTCTGCTGCCTGTGGGGGAAATGAGGGTGTTCTGTCATGGGACACCACCCCCGCGAGTCCCTGGTCCTGCTCCGTCACGGGAAGCCGCCCCCGTGAGTCCCTGGTCCTGCTCCGTCACGGGACGCCGCCCCTGCGAGTCCCTGATCCTGCTCCGGGCAGTGTGTGTCATCCTGGACAGAACGGGGCTCCTTTGTGCACCAATTGTATTAGTACAGCCTGGTCACAAGTCACCGTCTCTAGAGCAAGTGTCCCCTTAACTCCACAAGGAGCAAATGCGACATATACGAGGGATTCAAAACCTTCGTGGGAGAATTATCTTTGATTCTATCTTTCCATGAAGTTTTAAAAGCCCTTTTGTATATGCATGATGTTATTGTTGTTAAGTGCCGTCAAGTTGGTTCCGACCCATAGCAACCCTGTACAGGGTTTCCGAGGCTATAAATCTTTATGGGAGCAGAAAGCCTCATCTTTCTGCCACGGAGCAGCTGGTAGTTTCGAACTGCTGACCTTGCGGTTTGTAGCCCGATTCGTAACCACTATGCTACCAGAGCTCCTTATACATGATATTACATGTGTGTAAATATACTACAGATAGAACTTATGAGTACTGGACTGTTAACCACAAGGTCGGTGGTTCAAAGCCACTGGTTGCTCCTTAGAAACTATAAAGTGTTGCTCTGAGCAGAATCCTAACCAACCTGGCAACACTTAATAGCAACAACAGCCTAGTGAAAGGTGAACATGCGAAAGCTGGACAGTGAATAAGGAAGATCGTAGAAGAATTGATGCCTTTGAGTTATGGTGTTGGAGGAGAATACTGAAAGTGCCAAGGACTGCCAAAAGAACCAACAGATCTGTTTTGGAAGAAGTGCAGCCAGAGTGCTCCTTGGAGGCCAGGATGGTCAGACTTCGTGTCTCATACTTCAGACTTATTGTCAGGAGGGACGAGTCCTTGGAGAAGAGAAGCACATCTTGCTTAGTAAAGTGGAGGGTCAGCAGTGACGAGGAAGACCCCCCAGTGAGGTGGGCTGGCCCAGTGGAGCAGCGGGTGTGAGGATGGCGCAGGGCTGCGTGGTGTTTGGTTCTGTTGTGCTGAGGGTTGTTCTGTGTAGAGGGTCCGGCATTGACAGACTCAGCAGCACCTAATACCACCACCAACACATTTATGAGGTCTCTTAAAAATGCGTGGACAAAGGGACTGGAAAGACACAGAGGTTTTTCCACAAACTTTGGAAGCACTCTGGTGTTCTCTGACTAGAGAGCATTTAAAAAGACAGCTGGGAAGTTCCAAAATGTTAGCAAATAACCGTTACATTTCCCAACATGCCGGAAGTGAAAGAACAGTGGAAATGACACAGACTTGTCTTTCCTGATCTTGCTGAAAGTTCACACAGCAAATTCAGTTCCCATCTGACAGGTTGTGGAAAATGAATCGGCAACACGGTGGCATTTTCCCGGGCCTGGACGTTCACGTGATTCCGTTCTGGTTGCTCCGTGCTCAGCCCTCTCGTTTCCCGGCCTCCCGGCCTTCTCAGCTGTTCTGCGTTGGCGCGCTGTAGTGGTAGTGCCCTCGTGTGACTTCAGGGACAGGGAGGTGGCCCTTCCAGCCTCTTGCCTTTTCTGTCCACGTGGGCTCTGGGGCTGTGTTTCGGGATGATGGTTCTGAGAATCACGTCAGGGGTCTCCCACCCGGCTCTCGTCCCTGCTGGTTCCTTCGAGTGCTGCAGTGACCCCACACAGCTCGCAGAAGAGGGGCGTTCTTAGGGAAGGAACACGGGGTCAGGGTCGATGTGGGCGTCAGCAGGATGCAAACCTTCAACAGGACAGCTGCTTCTCAGCTGGATCAGCTGGACCCCTGCTCGGGCAGGTCTGACATGGCCAAAGGCCACTCCACCAGCAGCCTCCTGCAGAGGCCGGGACATGCTGGTCACTCAGCTGCCTCCCTGGGGGTCTGGGAGCTCTCAGCGGGGACCCTGGGCCCACCGGATACGTTTGTTCTACACTCGTCCTCCGGAGGGTAGCAGGTCAGGCCTGCTGGGTGGGCTCTGCAGACCCTGTTTGCATAGTCAATGAGCAGCCCTCCCTGTGGACCCACTGGCCAGTCCCCTTATCAGGAGCTCTGCCTACAGTGATAACTGATGTTCCCCCAGAGAACCAGGGCACTTCTCAAGAACAGCAACACACGTGCAAACGTGACCCTGTACACAGACGAGGGGCTGCCGAAGGGGGTGGGGACCGTCATTCCCTTTGAGTACCGCTTTTCTGCGAGTCTAGGTGCGCGCGCACGTGTGGCTTTTGGTGGTGGTCACAGAGTCACCAGGAACAGGCCCTTTGCTGGCTGGTGTTCTCTCACGGGCAGGCCGTGTACACGTCCCCCGCATGTTCACTTTCTACTCTGATGCAGACCGTCTATTTTGACAGGTGCTGTCGGGTAGGGAAGTGGGGGGAAGCGAGGCAGCCATTCACCTGTCTGCTTCACTCTGTCCAGGTGTGGCCCGAAGTCACCGACCCTGAGAAGTTCGTGTACGAAGATGTAGCCATCGCCACGTACCTGCTGGTGAGCCTGGGCTCAGCCTGC